AAAAAAAACATTAAAAATAACTTAAAATTAGTTGTAAAATAGCTAAAACAAACAAAATTTGCAGTAAAACAGCTAAAATGTAGCTGGAAATTCTTTTATTAGCGTAGGAAAGCAAAAGAAGCACAAGTTTGATGAACTTAGCATAATTAAGTTGTAATAGCTACAAAAATGTGTATTTTTGCCTAATTCTTTAGCAGAATTATAGCCGAAATAGCAGGAAAAAGCTAAAATTTGCTAAATAAAAGTAGCTAAAATTAGCACAAGGAAGTTAAAAAAGCAGATTCAGAACAAAAGATGTAATGTGTTGTAAMGATTTTGAAACATTTTAAAGGATTTCAAAGATGTTGAAAATATTCATTCATTTTCAATGGTAAAAATGTGTCCAAAAAAGTGAAATAGCTAAAGAAGTATAAGCAGCCAAAATACCAAAAGCCATAGCCAGAATGTCCTGAAGGAGCTGAGCATTTTGATATATAAATTGTCAAAATAGCACAAAAATACGGAAGAAAAAATTMTCTCAATTTTGTGAATGCTATGAAGCATTCATATCAGACTGTTGCTTCATTTATTTTTATTTTTGTCAATGGTTCACTTGAAGTACTACAGCTTTCTATTTGTAAGCTATGGGAAAAAATGTTAGACAAGATCCAAATCTCTTAATTTTTCCCTTCTGTGTGGAGCTGTGCAGACAGAATCTCTCGTTTCACATTTCCATCTAACATCCTGCTCCAGCTTTCTCAGCTGTGGTGTTCTTGTGTTTATTCCTTTGATTCCAAAGAGTTTGTTGATAATCAMTTAAACTAATGTCATTTCTATGGGATAAATCTTGCGCTAGCAGCAATTGAATTTGAATTGCTCAGATTTAATCTGTRTGTGCATAATTTGAAATTGAATGCATTGGTTTGAATTTTTTTTACTAAACTGAAACTGAATTTGATGATTTGAAACTGAATTTAAAGTTTTGAATTTGATTTAATTAGCTTTGAAGCTGTATTTTGGTTTATTAAAAATCTGAGCAATTCAAATTCACTTCTTGCCGGCACAAGATTTAACRCATACATACATTTCTCCTCTGACATGAGGACAATCCTTCAGACATTTCCTTGGATATTTTTTGCAAACTTGTACCTCTTGTTGATGATTATCAGACTTGTAGAGGAACAATACTCACCTACCTGCCCTCTCCACCAATCCTTTTTCTTCTCACACTCTTGGATCCTCATTACCCTGTTCTTGAAATTGGTGGGAAAGGCAAAACTAGTAATTTAAAATTGCTTTTATTTAATTTGTGGAGAATTGATCCTCATTGTATTAACACTTATCTCCATCTTGCCTTAGCCCGTTTTGGACTAGCCTTTAGCTTGTCATTCTTCAAACTGAAATAATTCAAACAGCTATCTTCAACAGGTAAGATTTGTTTTACGTTTCTTCCACAAATCTCTTTTTAATATGATAGACCTATCCTTTAAGTAAACCCTTTAATGGAAGGCAGGTGATTTCACCTCCTTCATCTGGTTGTATCACCTCTGTAAGGCATTTCTGTTACCCACGTGTTACTTTCAGCAGCCTTCAGAGGAATGACTTTGTAAAAAAATAATGAGTGAAGCGCTACTTMCAGACGACACATCATTTCAAGACAAAAAAGAGTAAAAACTCTTTGCTGCATGATTTTTATAGCGCAGGGGAAATAGCAGCTAATGACTCTGGCTGCCTAAAGTATTGATTTCTGCTAATTCTGAGTTGGAAGAAGAGAAGGAGGGCAATGTGTGTGAACGTGTGTGAGGGAGGGAGAGAGTGACAGCAGCTGCCTCCAGTGAAAACTCATTAGCTAAGCCTCAAGAAATCATTCATCACAGGTTACGATGTTCTGGATTATTACTCTCATTACTGTGCTATGAATTTATAAGATAACTTATCTCTGCGCTCGCTACGTAGATATGTTTAATAACACAGAGTTGTCGCAGATAATATTAAAAACTCCAGATTTATTGCTGCAGTGAGCAGAAGCAATAAGAGCGACTCTCCTCCGCTGCTGAGACA